AGCGGCCAACATGGCCGGCCCGAGTTCGATTCCTCCACCCCTCTCGGAGAGCCCGGCAAGCTACCGAGAGTATTTGATATGCCAAACACAGTAACAACAAAGTCTCCAATGGAGACGTTACTGGGCCCGCTCGAGCAAATCGACGATCAATGGGAGGGCCTTTACTATAGCTCCAGGTCCATGATCACCTTTTAAGGCCCATGAACCAACTTGTAAGCGTGGACACTTCCCTGAGATTCTCGAATTGTCCCTACTGCCAGGTGCAGGGCAGGTGGCTGTTAAAGCAGGATGCCCTCTTCCCAACTCCACGTCTGTGCCCCAAAGTCTTACCTGTTCAGAGAACAGCTTCCAGCACGGCAGAGGACCCCACTCCCCACCCCCCGAGCAGCAGGTAGGGCTAGGAGCCCACCAAGACAGGGCCTGGACTCATTCGTTCATTCCCCGCCTGGGGTCTTGGAACAGGGCCTTGGCCCTCCTGGGCTTGCACTGAGCTGGATTCCAGGGAGCAGAGCTGCAAAACGAGAATCCCATCTGTGCCCTGATGGCATCGGGTGATATGGGCTGCTCTCCAGGGGAGATGGCGGAGGTGGGTGGGGGGAGGGGGGACATCTGTCTTTCTGCCTCCCTGGGGGAAAAGCAAATGTGGCTTTTCATCGACAGCCCTTGTAGAGCCAACTTGCCTTTCCTAGAGGTGCCGAAAGGAAAAACGTGTGTAAGACAGGTTGTGGTGGGATGTATAAGGTAAAGCCAGAGAGGACATGGAAGGGCAGAAACCGCTTCAAAACTTGTCAGATTCTTCTCTCCACAGCTGGAAAGGGCTGGAGGAAAATGAAACCATTGCCAAGGCATCGCTTTCAGACCAGTACGGACCTCAGCCAGAGAGAGGACGGTGTCCAGCCTGCAGTGGGACCCCTCCTGTGCATGCAGGAGGGGGTGAGGGCACCCCAAAGGCCAGCAAACAGTCTCACCAGCAAATCCTTGTTGAATCAAGACAAATTCTGTCCAAGCATGAAACCACACCCAGATTGATTTTTTTTTTTTAGTAAACAGTTTTTTTTTTTTTTTTTAAGTCTGGAGCATTTCAGCGAGGGGAAGGTTGTGACAAAGCTGTCTTTTTCTCTTCTTCTTGCCAATATCAAATCACAGAGCCAAGAAGATGGCTCATTTGGAAGCATGCTGGGTCAGGCTTCCGAGTGATTATGTCGCTCTTGATTCCAACAGTCATCAGCTTCTAGGCTTATTTTTAGGGCGATGGCATGAAGTGGAAATCGGGCCAAGACCATCAACAGTCCTGCCTGGAAGTCAGTGGGGAGCCCCGTAGGGAAGGCTTGCTGCATTAGCACGCTGCTCTCTGAGGAAGCCTTCTCCACCCCTAGATGCTCTGCTCCGGAGGAAGGGGTGTCAGTGAGGGGCTTGGATTCTTCCGGAAGGCAACTTCTAAAAGTGCTGAATTCAGGACTGAGGTGGAGGATGGAGATGCTCCTTCAGGGACGAGTAGTCCAGGGCAGCAGTTCATGGCGGATGGGGCAGCTGAGCTCATTTGCTTCCCTGTGGCAAATGGGGTACGGTGGGATAGGGCTGGTGGCCGCTTTGCTTGTTGAGGTGACGGGGGGGGGGGTGGTAAACCGCAGCCCCCAGGCCAAATGTACCAGCCACTTTTTTTTCCCTCTTCAGTGCAGGGCGCCAGAAGTACTCTGGGATGCTTAAATCTAAAAACCAAAGCAGCAGCAACATTTCGAGACACATAGAAAGCACATGAATGCCAACTGCTGTCTTTTTCAGGGCGTGGAACTCAAGTCTCTTCCTGGAAGTGCAGCCACTGAACCATCCGTCCCTGCAGTGGCTGTGAGCTGCACGGGTGCTTCTGGGGCAGAGACGCGACCCCAGGGCCTGCAGACCCTCCAACGCCCACTCTTAGGCTCTGGTCTGATCCAGCTGGCTGCTCCTGTAGTCTGTAGCGGAGCAGGAGACAGGGACCCCACCAGCGACCCCCTCCCTGCAGCATGCCAGCTGCCTGGTGCAGCCCTGTTAGCTGGAGATGTGGGTGATCTCAGAGTGGCGTGAGAGTCTCCCATTGAAATCACAGTTTTGCTCTTGAGATGCACGGGGATAAGAGTTACAACCCTGGAGGAGACCAACTAGAGCTTTTCTTAGCTTTCTCTGCTACAGGTGACCAACTAATGGGTGTTTTCACTCTACTGGGCACCTTATTCTGCTCTGGCCTTTTCTATTTCCTCCTCCTCCCCTTCCTCCTCCTTCTCCCTGGCTCACTTGGGCTTCTAAGCTCCAGAGAGCACATCTGGGTACCACCTACCACCTGGAACAGTGAACTCTGGCTCAGCTGTTCCTTCCTCCATCACATCTACCTCCACTGCTGCTGACATCTGGGTAAGAGGCCCCGGCGCAGCCAAGGCCATTCTGGGCTCTTGGTTCCCGGATGCAGCAGGTGGATCTGGGGGGCGCTGGGCTGGTGAACGCAGTGCTCACTGTGGTCAGGTCCTGTGGTGGGAGGGCAAGTGCCGCCACACACAACTCCCCAGGATACTCCTCGGAGCCTCTGCTGCTTAAACAACCAACTAGCCTGATGGTTCTCCTCTCCGATGAGGACTCACAGGTGCCCACGGGACTCACTGGTGTCCACGGATCCAGCTGCTGAGTTCTGAGTGCCTGGGATTGGGAACAGGCAAGCAGGGTGGGGCCTCCTACCATGGGGTGGCAAGAAAGAGCTCTGCTGGACCCCACTGTTCCTCTACATTGGCCTTCAGTCACAAAAGACCCAACTCTGCTGTCTGGTTAATGACCCTACCCCTGGCACCCCTCCCTCCTCCTCCTGACACATCCCTAGGTTTCTCTTGGCCAACACTTCTCAGCCCCAGGGCAGCTACCAGAGACAGGCAGCCAGAGGGGGCTGGACACCCCTATCAAACCCAAAGGCTGAGCCAAGTGCTCACATGGGAGCCCAGACTTGATTATTTTCCATCAAATCCAATTCAGAAAGGATCAGTCGAAACATACACAGCATCCACTTCATCCTCTTAGGGTGGGCAAATTCTGTCTGCCCCTGCCTGGAGAGTCTCTTTTCAGTCCACTCTGGGAACCGGGAGGACTAAGGGGATTCTCCTGCAGATGTGCAGACGCTGCCCAAGAGGAAGGGCGGAGGTCCCTAGCGTGTCTGTTTCATTCAATGGAGCCCAGAGCAGGTGGGGTTCTTCTCTCAAGAGGGAGACTAGAGCCCTGGCTGATTCTGCTGAGACAACACCCACTTCCTCCTGGCTTTCATCTCCTCGCCCTTCTCACTCTCTGAGATTGCCTCCATAAGAAGTCCCAGGCCTTGTAAGTCCTCCCGCTCCACCCCTGCAGATCTTTCTCTTAGCCTAACCATCTCCATAACTCTAACCATCTCCATAGCTTTCCGTGAAAGGAACACAGGGACTCCAGTCTGGTCTGCCCCTCTGAGCCACTCTGCATCTCTGAACCTCAGTTTACCCATTGTGATGCATCTAATATCTGCCTCCCAGGAGTTCAGTGAGACCATACAAGGGACAAGATGCAAGAGACATTCAAGCAACCAGGAAAGTTTCCCAGAATCCAGAGGTGCAAAGGTGGGTCACAGAGACTCCCTAGATGGACACCTGGCTAGGAGCACGGAGAGCCCCTTCATTCATGCCCTATGTTTCGATGATACAGGAAATAGAATGAGCAGAGGCTTAACGGCTTTTTGGACTCCAAATGCCACGGTGTCTAGGGACCAACTCTGTACCTGGGCAGGCCAATGTGCAAGGGACAGACTGTACACACCAAGGACAAAGCCTTCCCCGCGCCTGGGGGAGGGGTGTTCTGTGCTGGCCCTAAATCCGCCTGCTATTCTCTTGTCCACAAAGATCACACACCAGTCACCATAGCAACAGCGGTCCTCAGGAGCTGTCCACTGCTGGATGGAGATGGGAAAGATTTCCTTATTAAAACAAGAAGGAGGACAGAAATGAGGTTTTTAGATGTATCTGCCCTCCACCCAAAGTGGGGCGCCTTTTATGAGAAGAAGAAAGGAGACTATTATCCAAATGGGCTTCTAATTCCTAGTGGTGAAATCTCCAACTCTCGTTTCAGACTCGGTGCAGTTCCCACTTGCCCTCACACCTCCAGGAGGAAGACATTTTCTCAAAGACGCATAAAATAGGGGCAAGGAGCCATAGAATAAGTGGGGAGCGACTTATGAATCTCTGGGCTGTCCCCCAGCCTAGGAAATGCCCCCCCCCCCCACACACAAACTTGTCATCACCAGATATGTTCTGGGCATTTCCTGGGGCACAGTATGTGAGGTGCTGCCCGTGGCCCTTGGGGTGTCAGGCGGTGGGGATCTGTGGGCATGTCCTGGAGACCCTGTTCTGCCTTATCTTTACTTTCCGATTTCTGTATGGTCTGATGTGACCTCAGAACGGGCAAAGGAAGCAATTCTGCCCCTCGGAGTGTGCATGGGTGTGTGTGACGCTCAGTGCGAGTTTAGCAGCCTGTCCACGCCTCCTGGCACGGGCACGCGCGGGTCTGGCCATTCCTGGGAACTTCTCCCTGGGATCTTCACTCTGCCTCACTCCAAACTTGCCTTTCGGGTCCTAAAGACTGAGATCTCGGGCTTGTGAGTCCCACCACGCTGCCGTCGAAGGGGCCAGGAAAGGGAACCTGCTGGTCTGCTCAGGGGATTAGGAGGGGTTGGGGGGAGGGGGATGCACAGTGAGTTGGAACCCAAGGTCCCTAGGAACACAGAACCGAGTGGAAGTGGGTTGGGGTGGGGCCGAGGCAAGGTGAGCCACAGAGACTGAGCTTGTCCCCCCGCAGGGAAGAGCCAAAGCCCAGCTCTGCAGATCCTGGACCTGGACGTGGAGTGAGCCCAGAGCAGGAGACAAAGTCCTCCGGGGGATGCCCAGGAGCAGGTTGCTGGCTTCCTGGACAGGCCCCAGGACTGGGACACAGGAGAGGCCAAGGTTGAGGGGCGGTCTGGTCCAGGGAGGCTTGCCCCACCCCCGCTGGGAAATTAGAGGCGACATGTGATAGGCTCAGGCAGACAAGGGGGTGGGCTTACAAAAGGGGCGGGGCCGCGCTAGTAGGGGAGGGTGGAGTCATCCCACTCCAGCTGGGCTTGCCTGGCTGTGCCCTGCCCGCCCCTGCCCCTGCCCAGCCCGGCCTCCTCCACCTCCTCCTCGCTGTCATAGGAGTCGCTGCTGCTGCTGGAGCTCACGCCTTCCTCGGCTTCCTCCTCCTCGTCGTCCTCCGTCTCCTCTTCCCCTCGCGTGGGCTCCTGGTGCTTCTGGGAGTTGGGGGACACAGGGAGGTGGCTTCAGGGCCCGGAGGGAGGCCCCAAGAGAGCTGGGGGTCGTCTCCCCACTAAGGGGGTTCCTTTCCCTTGAGGACTGAGCTGTGGGTCAGGACGGGGTGGGGGGACGAGGAGAGGGGCTTCTGGGGCAAGTCAACCTGAGGGTTGGGTGGGATTCCAGAGTGGGGGCTGCAGGCTGTGGGTGCCCCTGTCTGCCCTTCTGGAGCCTTAGACCCTGACTTCTCAGGGGGGAGTGTGTCCCCCTTTCAGTGAGGGTAGGACACGAGAGGGCCCCAAGTGCTTGCTTTGGGGTGCCAGATCTCCACTCTTGCTGGCCCTGCCTACCCCACTCCCCTCCAGCCCTTCAACCCCACCCTGGTCAGTTCCCTCTTTTGGGGACTCCAGCCAAGGCCTGTTTCTGGAATGGTCTGAGCCAGGGCGCCAAGCCATGCCTGACTACACCTCTTCGCCCCCCCCCCCCCCAGTCTTGGGGCCACTTGGGGAGAGTGGATGTGGCCCCAGCCTGGGCTCCTAGGCCTGAGGCACTTCTTGCCTGGCTCTGGAGGTCTGGCTCCCACATCTTGGTGGCCCACTGGGCTGGGACCCTCTCAGTGGTGGGCTTGGTCCCCCTGCTGGGAAGACCCCACAGCATGGCATGCTTGGGCATGGGAGACTCTCAGAGCAGATTCCAGGGACCCGGCTGGGTGCCCCGTTGGTCTCAGTGACCCCCACCCACCCATCCTTGCAACCCCCTCCCAACTGCTTGCTTCCTCCCTCAGACAACACCACCCTGAGTAGGCAGCCAGGGACAGACTGCAGGTGCCCAGGAAGGGGCTTCCCTCCTGTTCATGGGTCCGAGGAGGGGTCTGGCACCCTTCCTCTGTTAAGGACTGTGAAACCTCCTTCCCAGCCTCCTGGGCAGATTAAAAGAGGGGGTGCAGAGGGATCCCCCTGGGTATATTGGGGCTTTGATAAGTGCCAGGTACCACTGGTGGGTTTTGCTTGAAGCTCACTGGAGCCTTCCGTTGGCTCTGCAGCCAGCACAGGGGACCCAACCCATCCCCGCCATGGATGGCTGCACTGATACAACACCGCAGCTAAGTGACAGGGCGCTCAGAGCTGGAGTCGCAGGGCGTGGGGGGGGGGGGGCGGGGGGGAAGGGGCCCCGCCCCTCACCCCAGCAGTTTGCCTGGAAGTCTCTGGTTCTGTGGGTGGGGAGAGAACAGGTCACACTTTTGGAAAGGGCAAGTGGGTGCAGGAGCGGTGGGGTGCAGGGGCCAGCAGAGGGCTGTGGGGGCTCCGGGAACAGTAGAGCAGGGACCCTCACCTCCATGGGGTTGACGGTGATGGTGAGCGCTGAGTCGTCCCAGTCCATCTCGGCCTCCTTGGCCGCCTCGCTCTCCTGGGTGAAGTGCTGGTGGGCTATGCGGACCCGGTACACGCCCATGGCCACGACGAACACGAGCATGCAGACGGAGATGATGATGACCACCGTGGCGATGCTGGGGACCACTGGGGTGAGGGGGGAAGCCCCATTGCAGTGGAACCAAACGCCCGCTGGGAGCTTCCCCCAGAGGAAAACGCCTGCATCCTCAGTCCGAGGAGGCAGTGATGCGTCTGCATGGCGTGTGGACGGCACTCATTAAGGGTACCTCCTGCGGCGTCCCTCTTGCCAGAGGTGGGCCTCCAGGGGGAGCCTGGCCTTACGGGGGCTCAGCAGGGACAGACACAGTGACCAGGGACACCTCAGCTAGACAGCAGGACCAGGCTGGGCCAGAAGCATGCGTGGACCTCACTGGAGCCTTCTGTGGGTTCTGCAGTCAGCACAGGCCCCAGCCCCTCCCTGCCATGTGGCTCGTCGAGTCGGGCAGCTAAGAGCTGGGGTTGTGGGGGCAGTAGCAGGTAAGGGCAGGGGAGGTGTGATCTGGGATCAGAACAGCCTGTCTTAGGTCCTGTGTGCAGCTTCCTGCTTATTGGACTCTCCTCCCCCCTACCCCTCAGGACAGGAGCCCCTAGCTTTCCCAGGGCCTCCCTCTGTCCTGACCCCCCAGGGCTGGGCTGCTCGCCCTTTAGTGGATGTTTTTATTTTTTAAATTTAATTTAAGTTTTTGGCTTTTTGGGGGGGTCACACCCACCAATTCTCAGAGATTACTCCTGGATCTGCACTCAGAAATCACTCCTGTCATTGCTTGGGGACTCTATGGGATGCTGGGGATGGAACACGGGTCGGCCACATGCAAAGCAAGTACTCCACCCGCTGTGCTATGACTCCAGCCCCTACTGGATGCTGTTGATTGTTCTTTTGTTTCTGAGCCACACCTGGCAGGGCTCAGGGAATATCCCTGCTCTGTGCTCCTGGTGGGGCTCATAAGGGGTGCTGGGGATTGAACCCCAGTTGCCCAATGCAAAGCAAACATCCCACTTGTTGATTGCTGTACCCTCTCTGGGTGGTGTTGAACCCCCAGCTCCCGAGGACCCATCTCCCAGGTGACCTACCTGACCCACGCCGGATGCTGATCTGGGTCTCAGGGTGGTGGACGGACTGCAGGAATGGCGGTTGCACGATCAGGTGGTTGACATGCTCCTCGCTGGCCACACGGGCCTCATGTAGCACACTGACCTGGAAGAGCCAGGCGGGGTATCCCTGGAGAGGCAGGCGGCCGGCAGTGGCCAGCCCCCAAGTGGGTGGGTGCACCTGCTCCTCCCCCTCCCCTCCAAAGACAGTGTTCCTCACCTCCAGGTTGAACTCATTGCTGGTGTAGCGTCCGTTGAGTTCTGAGCACTTGATCCGGAACCTCCGGGTCTCTAGGGATGCCGGACGCCAGTGACGATAACGGATATGGTGCAGGACCTGCTCATAGCGGCTCATGGAGCCTACACCTGTGCCAAGACAGCACACCTGTCAGTGGCGAGGGAGAGAGAGGGAGGAGGAGGAAAGAGGAGGAGGAGGAAGAGGAGGAGGGGGAGGAGGAGGAGGAGGAGGAGCAGGAGGAGGAGGAGCAGGAGGAGGAGGAGGAGGAGGAGGAGGAGGAGGAGGAGGTGGCAGTGGCAGGCAAATCTCCTGAACCCATCTCAGATTTCCGAGCTTGAGATGTTTAGGTCTGACAGTGTGCAGAAGATACCCAGGGCTTTTTAATTTTTACATGAATCCAGATGTTTGGCCTGAATCTTCCAAATGTTGCTCTGACGCTTTCTGAGTTCACAGGGACTGAGAGAAGGCACTCACCTGAGTTTGGACATTTCCCCAGGAGCAGGACAAGGCCAGCGCCTCAAAATGTTGGAGCAGAATGCCCCATGAAAGGGGCGAGAGGTGGGTGGTCCAGGGGCCCTCTCTGCCCTCCCGCTCCCGGCTCCAGGCCCAGCTGACCTGGATGAGGGTGCTGGGCCTTACCATATATGGAGTAGCCCGCGCTGGAGTTGGTGGCATCCAGGTGGCGTTGGTGGAGTTCGCTGTGGTTGAGCTCCAAGCACTCCTGTCTCGGGTCCAAGTCCCCTCCCAGCACCAGAATGTCACAGAAGTCTAAGTTGTGAAGCATTTCTTCTAGGAAGGGTGATTTGGGGGCTGTGAACAGAGAAGATGCCTGGGAAATGCGGGGCTGAGGATTGCTCAGACGCAGCCCTGAGAGGTCAGAGTCAGGCCAGGTCTGGAAGGATAGCTGCAGGACCTCACACAGCTCCCCTGCTCCGGTGGGGAATCCCCCTCAGACAGCCCCCCCCCCTCGGTGGGGAGGCCTCGCTTGATGTGAAGGGTGTGAACACAAGAGGTAAATCTGAGTAGTATATCTATTAAAAAGTGGATGAACCGATTGTGTCCTTTCTAACACAGTTATGGAAATCGAAACTAAAAAGAAGGGTTTCCAAAAGATGAATTATTTTCAAGAATGATTTTACTCTATTAGAATTTCCAGGGATACCCTAAGTGTCTTTTGCTCTTGCTAGACAGAGCTCATGAATAATTCTACAGGCTTTGCTTTTAAGCCTGTTGGTCTCGCTGGTTTCTTGTTTCACTGGCCAAAGTCCAGAAGCACATTTAGAGGTGACCAGGTTGGCCACTGCTCATAGGTGCGTGGGGCTCTGCAGCTGGCCAGCTCCTGGTTTCCAAGGAGGCTGTTCCCGCTTCCTCTCAGGTGGGGGTTTCTGGGGTTCTTCACTCAGGAAGACAGGCAGGGGGCACACGCTTCCACCTCCTTCTCTGCTCTGGAGCTTTCCTCTACACCTTCCTCAGCTCCCACTGTGCCCAAGGGGTGCACCGTGCTAGGGAGTTGAGTTGGCTCAGTGAGTTGGCCACATGTCTGGATTCACAAACCGTTAGCACCCATGCATGGTGGGTCAGAGAGAAGCACCAGATGTTGGGGTGAGTAGGGACAGGGTGTGTGTGAGAGGGAGAGATACTTTCAAGGAAGGGCTTCTTTTTTAAAAATTCTTTTTTATTTTTTGCTTTTGGGGTCACACCCAGTGATGCTCTGGGGTGACTCCTGGCTCTGCACTCAGGAATTCCTCCTGGCGGTGCTTGGGGGACCATATGGGATGCTGAGAATTGAACCTGGGTCAGCCACGTGCAAGGCAAACGCCCTATCTGCTGTGCTATCACTCCGGCCCCAGGAAGGGCTTCTTAAGATTGAGATGTGTATCAGCAATCATAGGGAACAGGAGGGACACTTCCTCACAGTGGCAGGGAAGAGCAGAGCACAGGAGAGGGGAGAGAGGGGAAGGGAAGGGGCAGAAGGACAGAGGCCAGGAGGGAGTCGTGTAGGTCGGGGAATGATGGTTTCACAGTGGCACAGTGGCACCCACGCCTGCTGAAACCAGTTCCCTCCTCTAAGTGGCCCCAAGGCCGTCTTGCTGTGATGCCAAATGACAAACTCAAGCCAGGACACCTGGGGGCAGAGCATAGGACCAAAAAGCAGTGGGTCCCTGATTTCTCAGAAGTGCCTGCCCCCGCCCATGAGTAGCCCACCTCAGCGGTTGGACCCTAACAAGAATCCCAGCACTGATTTCCTCCCAGCTTCCGATTTTGCTTTCCATCCCACTTCTGCTTCCTCTAATAAACGTTTTCTCGTGTCACTGAAGATGTGTGCGGTGTGAAATCCTCTTCCATGGCATGGGAGACCCCAAGAATGGAAGAGGGGTCTCAGGAAGGCCCCCTCCACCATTCCGTACCCCTAACACCCGGTAACAAAGAAGAACGAAGAGCCAGTGGGCCAATGGGGCAGAGATGGCCAGAGTGGCAGGCTAGAGTGGCAGCAGAAGGCAGATGCCACTAGCCTCTGTTCAAAGCACTTGAGAGTGATTATTCAAGCAGCAGGTTTGATGATCCCTGCACTCACCTCCTACCAATGGAGCTATAGACCCAGATCACTGCTCCCTCCTCGTGCTCCCTGCTGCTGGGGTCTGTCCTGGAGACCCCTTCCCTTTCTCTGATTTTGTTTTATTTATTTTTTGCTTTTTGGTCACACCCGGCATTGCACAGGGATTACTCCTGGCTCATGCACTTAGGAATTACTCTTGGCGGTACTCGGGGGACCATATGGGATGCTGGGAATCGAACCAGGGTCGGCCGTGTGCAAGGCAAGCACTCTACCCACTGTGCTATCGCTCCAGCCCCTCTCTCTCTGATTTTAGCCATGAAGGAGCAGAGAGGGAAGACTTGCTGAGCTAAGGCACCTTTGCAGTCAAGGAAATGACCTTCCAGGCAGGTGGGCAAACAGCACGTTTCTGGAGTTCAGAGATGGGACTGCCTTGCCCAGGGACCAGGAGTGCTAAAGGCAATGGGCAATTCTGACTGTTTTAGAAGCAGTCACTCGGTACCAGCATATCATTAGAGGCTGTTCTGGGAGCAGGAGAGCTGGAAGTCGAGTCCTGTAGGAGGCGGCCAAGACTTGTATTTCCACCCTAGATCTGGGGTTCGTTTCGTACTCTATTTCCACATTAGATCTAGGGTCCACCCCCTCCCCCAGCACACACTGTTGCTCTCTGTGCCTCCAAGAGCTGCTTCTCCCCGCAGATGATTCCAACGCCTCCTCTAGCCTTGAACAGCCCTTTCAATAATGAATCCATGGCAAATAATAACGTCGGAGCTTCCTGGGAGTTTAGGGTAATACTGCTGAACAAGACCTGATTTTTACGAGGCATTATCATGTAGTAGTCACTATCTTTCTTTGTGCTGCTGCTGTTGCTGCTTCTTTGATTAGCAAAATAACACAGGCTCACCAGCCAGCAGTTTGCTGTTGCAGGCAAGTGAAGAGGGAGCCAAGCAAACGGCTCTGCTTCTGCTTCTTACTGGACTCTGTGGTGGGGATGAGACCCATTCCCTGCGCCGCATTTTGCGATGCTTTCTTTCTTTCTTTCTTTCTTTCTTTCTTTCTTTCTTAAAATATTTTTTATCAAAACACTGTGATTCTTATTATTAATAGTTGAGTTTTAGGCATACTATGTTCCAGCAGTAGTTTCACCACCACTGTCAGTACTTTATATATCAATTTTCCCCCATAATTTTATTTGTTTGTCTTTATTTTTTTTATTAATGAAACACCATGAGGTAAGTGTAGACTTACAAACTTTCGTGCTTGGGTTTCAGTTATACAATGATCGAGTACCCATCCCTCCACCAGTGCCCATTCTCTACCACCAATGATCCTAGTAGCCCTCCCACCCCCACAACCCATCCCCTCCACCCCCCACCCCACCTCTTTGGCAGGGCATTCCCTTTTGCTCACTCTTTACTTTAGGGTTTGCAATAGGAGTATTGAGTGGCCATCATGTTCGGTCTATAGTCTACTTTCAGCATGCATCTCTCATCCTGAGTGATGCTTTATTTCTTTACCTGGCCCAGCTCACTCTCTCTGTAGATACTCATAGTTCTTTTTTTTTCTTTTTGGGTCACACCTGTTGATGCTCAGGGGTTACTCCTGGCTCATACACTCAGGAATTACTCCTGACAGTGCTTGGGGACCATAAGGGATACTAGGAATCTAACCCGGGTAAGCCGCGTGTGAGGCAAACTCCCTACTTGCTGTGCTATCGCTCTAGCCCCGATACTCATAATTCTTCAGTATGCTTATATACTTTTTCTTCTTATTCTTTAGTTTTTTTTTTTAAATTGGGGCCGGAAAGGGGGGATCTCAAGCAGTGCTCAGGGGGCTGAGAACATTTCCGGCAATCAATATTTGACCAACTGGGCTAGTGGGTTAGGGCCCGAGAATTCGGGGGTTGCTTGGTGTCTATGGTGCTGGTGACCAGCAGGGCCATCTTGGAGGGCTCTGGAGCTTCTAGGGCTACTCTGGTGCCAGGCATTAAGACTTGTCCCCTCTTCTAGGGCACCTCTTTCTGTTGAATAAGATCACTTAGCACTCCTGCCTGGCCGCCAGCATCATCAGTATCGAGTATACCACAGTTGGCTAAACCATGTCCTCTCCTGCTCCCAGGTTTGTCTGCTGTCAACATGCATCCCCCATTAAGGGGCTCAGGGACAACACTGGTGGGGACAGTAGCTCCCCACCCGCACCCTGTCTTCACCCACAGGCACCCGTACCTGTGGTTTGCTGTGAGTCTCCCGGGGCCTCGGCTCTGGACAAGGTGCTCAGGATCTTGAGGTCGGGGAAGAGAACCACTCCTCTGGCGCTTTCAAACTGGGCGGCGGGCCTCCAGAGGTGCTCAGTGCCGCGGAGGGTGATCTGGGGTTCCATGGCCTGCAGCACCATCACGAAGGCGTCCACGTCAGGGATGCTGATGCACACGTCCTCCCCGAAGCACCTGGGAAACAGCTGCCGTCAGGGCGCTGGGGAATCAGCCAGTGTTGGGACCCCCGCACCTGTCCCAGGTGTCTTCTCTCATCCTGGTCCCCAGCCTGCCTCCTGCCTGAGCGTGTTCCGAGGATGTCAACTGTCATTCCCTGTCAGAGCCACACAGAGGCAAAACAACCCGAAATCGAGGGCCTGGAAGGAATGGGCCCCTGGAACAAATGGGAATTTTCTATACCAGCAAGTAACCATTAAACCTTTAATTATCCCTTAACAGAGCAATCACTGGCAACTTTAATTAGATCGTAACTGCTTGTTAGAGCATTAGTATTTGGTAAGCAAATTACTGTCTGTTTGGTGGCAGACATGCTCCTCAGTGGCACCTCAGATCTAAGCTTGACCCTTTCTGGTTTACCCCACCAGCTCTGGAGACAGCCTGTCACCAGCTGTCACCAGCGCTACAAGGATGGCATGGAGCAGGGCCTGGGGCTCACTCAGAACAAAAGGCCCTGTCCTGACTTGGCTGCTCTCAGTGGGGGGACTCTGAGCAAGGGGCTGAACTCCAGGGATGCTCTGTGTCTCCTAAAATCCAATAGGGAGAGCAAGAGGCAGCTCTTGGGACTTAGTGAAGGTCTGACAGAGCCTGATCAAAGGCTGCTCAAGGAGCAAGTGTAGCAGTGTTCTCCTCAGTCTCTCCTCAGCTACTCTCTCTCCAGACTCCTTAGTTGAGCTCTCCTCAGATTCTCCCTAGCTACTCTCGCCTCTGACTCTTCTCAGCTGTGTACCCTCAGATTCTCCTCAGCTGCTCTCTTCAGACTTGGCAGTCAGCGTTCTAGTCCACAGTATTCAATGCTGTGCACATCCCAGCCTCAGACCAGACCTCAGCATACATGGGGAGCCCAGAGCCCAGGTGGGGAATTTTGGGCAGCCTCACCCAGCGTCTCAGGAAAGCTCCTAAAGAAAGGGTCCTCTGGGTCAATATTTCTCACCATTTTTCTGACTATGACCCGCTTTCCATCTTGTTTCCTTCCTATAATCCACCCTCCATGATCCTGCTCATGGGTACCCAAATTTCATGCTGTGGGCCCCTATTTATTTGATTCTCACCTGTGGCCCCCTTGGAATATCCCAGAGGGGACAAAAGGGGAGTCACATGATCCCTGAGTGAGGAACACTGATCTAGGTGACCCTATTTTGAGTCACTTCATCCTCTTCTATGGGGCAGGCTTCTGCTTCCAGTGTTGTCTGCTCTGTGTACCCTCAGATTCTCCTCAGCTGCACCCCATAATTTACAAAGAATCCCTGACTACCTGACCTGAGAGCTGGACACTGACTGGTTGTTCCATATTCTGCTTCTCTCTCTTTACAGATTTATTTTAATTCATCTTCAATGGAATCAAAGTAATAAAAAATGTGCCCAGATTACAGGGTGCCTGGGAAGGGTTGGAGAGCGTGGCTTTCCAGAAGGGAAAAGTACCTCAAGTCCAAAGCAAAGAGCTGGGAGTTTGGTCCACAGTATGCACCTTCGATTGGAGGGGATGGAAATAGCCCTGGACCTTCTAGAACCCCCAGATAGTCCTGAGAGAAACAACCCACCAGCTCCCTCGGCAAGACAGCCTCCAGATAGTCCTCAGGATCTCTTGTGACTAACAAGGCCAATAAACACACACACAATGTACACAAAACACCCAGGTTGCAGCCAGGGTGGTCTAATGCATCAGGAGGAGGAACCTGAAGGCAGAGGCAAGACCAGGGATGGTACTTTAGAAGGAAAAAAATGCAGTGAAGGATGCACTGAGCTCAGCTTCACTGGGGCAGCCAGCTGTGAGCAGCCAGGGAGGCTGAGGGGTGCAGGTGTCTGAGGAAAGTCCAGGTTCTCTGTTGCAACACTGTTCTCAACAAGAAAGTCTCTTTTGGAAAGAAGACAAATGCATGAACTCAATGAGATGATTGAAAGGAGAGCAAGAATGAACAGTTCCTACCATTACACTCGAGCACTTAGCCCTGTGGTGGCCATGTTCAATTCCCACACAGCTTAGGGGCTTATTCGGTTTCTAAATGAACCCACTTCTGTGAAAGTTGTTCTCACAAATCCATTAAGGATGGCATACTCTGTCTTCCTGGGGTGACTGATGAGGATTGAGGGCTTCTCCTCATGTCCCCTCTTTTTCACTGACCAGGAAGAGCTACCCCTGGCCCTCATCCCAGTGTAGAGGGGTGTAGAGATGTGCATTTGTATGGAAGTGCTGAGGGGAGTGAAGGTGTGTAGATGTGTGGAGGTGAGTGGACGTGAGTGGAGGTGTGTGGTTGTGTGCAGGTGTGTAGTGTGCAGGTGTGTGGAGGTATGTGGAGATGTGTGGAAGTGTGGAAGTGTGGAGGTGTATAGAGGTGTGCAGGTATGTGGAGATGTACATATGTGTGGAAGTGTGTGCAGGCATGTGAAGCACATGTCCATAGGTGTGATTTGTGCAGGTGTGTGGAAGTATGTGGAGGTGTATAATAGTGTGTGGAGGTGTGCATATGTGTGTAGTGTATTTGCACGTGGAGGTGCATAAGGGTTGCAGGTGTGTGCAGGTGGGAAGTGTGTGCAGGTGTACAGATGTGCATGTGTGTCCTGGTGTTTGGAGCTGTGCATGTGTGTATAGGTCTTCAGGTATGTGCATGTGTGTGCAGGTACACAGATGTGCTTGTTTGCAGGTGTATAGATGTGCAGGTATGTGGAGGTGTGCATGTGTATGTAGGTGTGTGGAGGTCTGAAGGTGTGAGGAGGTATGCATGTGTATACAGGTGTATGAAGGAATGCACGTGTATGCAGATGTGTGGAGGTGTGTGGAGTGTGAAGGTATGTGAAGGTGTGAAGGTATGTGGAGGTGTGAATGTGTATGCAGGTGTGAGGGGTTTGTGGAGGTGTGAAGGTGTGTGGAGGTGTGCATGTGTATGCATGTGTATGCAGGTGTGTGCAGGTGTGTGCAGGTATGTGAAGGTGTAGGCGTCTAGAGCCACTGGCGTGAGCCCTGCCTGTGTTTATCTTGCCCCCGGCCTCGGGGCCCTGAGCAGACATCTTTCCCGCCCTGTCCCTGCCTTTCTGGATCTTCTCCAGTGCCGAGTCTGGGAGACTCCCCTTCCATCTCCCACTGCTTTCCCGGAGGCCTCCAGGGTGCCCACCCTCCCAGGGGTCTTCTGTGGCCGACAGCGATTTGACGGGAGCAGGAAAGGAGATCTTCACAGCTTCAACAAAAGTTTCTGAATACTGACCCTGGGAACAGGAAGTGTCTTGCATCCCCATGGGACTGAAGAGTTCTGCAAAGCTGGGACCCTTTGCTGGGGCTGGAGAGATAGAATGGGTTGAGGCACTTGCCCTGCACGTGGCTGACCCGGGTTCCAGTTCTGGACCCATCCAGGGCTATTTCCTTAAGAAACACTTGCTAAGTGCCTTCTCAGAGCCGGGCCCTGGATCCTATCCACCACCCCCTACAGCCAGCTCTGAGCAGCCACAGATGCGGCTGAGGAAATGCCCTGGCCCTGCCAAACCGTCTTTATGACTGTCTTTATGAACACGGAGGAGCAGCTCTGCTGTGGGGCTGAGAGGCCTTTCCCAGGACCTCAGCTAAGCCCTGCTGCTCCGGGGGAGCCCCAGGCTGACCGCCACGTCCACTCACTGCACTTTGGAAGAGACTCTGAGGCGCCGCACCCCCGCCGTGGGGAACTGCCTGGAGTTGATGTAGGAGACCTTCTGCAGGGCGCGGTTGATGTTCCCTATATCGTCCCCCTCCATCACCAGCACGGACTGCGAGGGGTTGAAGTGGTACTGGAAGACAGAAGCGGCAGAGAATTAGAATTTTGCTTTGGGGGCCATACCTGGCAGTGTTCTGGGCTTACTCCTGGCTCTGTGCTCAGGCGTTGTGCTCGGGAGACCTTATGCAGTGCCAGGGATGGAACCCAGGTTGGCTGCATGCAAGGCAAGTGCCTTACCCACTGTACTATCCTTCTGGCCCAAAGTTCTTAAGAATTGATGAATCGCTTCCAACCATGGACCATTTCTTCTGGCCTTTATGGCTGTCGTCCTTGGGTATTGCTCTCATCCTATGTTCTTTTTATATCCCACAGATGAATTTGATCATTCTACGCCTGACCCTCTCCCTCTGACACATTTCACTCAGCATGAAGGATGATACTCTACATGTCCATGCGTTTAGACGCAAATTTTATGACTTCATTTTTCCTGGTGGTGTTGGTGGTGGTGGGGAGGCAGCTAGGATAGAAAAGGGACCACTATGACAAAGATAGCTGGAACTTTGATCAAGATCTGAGTGCTAAAAGGAGGTAAAGGGACAAATATGATAACCTCCCAGTACTTGTATTATAAACAGTAATGCCCAAAAGGAGAGGAGAGAGAGAGAGAGAGAGAGAGAGAGAGAGAGAGAGAGAGAGAGAAAGAAAAGAAAAGTGCCTGCCATAACTGTATCTCATGGTGATTCCATTTAAAAAAATGGGGAAAAAGGATTTATTAATATAGATTAAATTTTTCTCCTTTCTTACACCACAGGTGGCTTATTGCCACCAATACTGCACTCCACTCTTCCTACTTAACTCCTATTTTGGAGATATTGCTAGATTAATACATCAAAATTTTCTTCAATTAATTTTTTTGCAGCTGTATAATCTTCTTCCATATGGATTAGAATTTATTTAACCAGTCTTCTATGAACATTGGGGTTATGATCCTCCTCTTACACATAATGCCACCGTGAGTAATCTCATGCGTGCGGGTCAAAGAGCAGTGTACATTGCATTTCACAGCTGTAGCCCAAGTCCCTGCTGCTGGGAATTCGAGCAAGAAGCTCATGCTTTCGGGAATGGTTCTCTTTCTGGGGTTGGGGGCTTTCCAAGAGGTGCTCAGGAGGCCCTGTGCCCCTCCCTGTGATTGGGGTTCAATGAAACAGCTTGAGGACACAATGGTGTTCAGTCCAGTGGTGCTGACCGTGCCATGTCTGTGGACCTCAGGCTATGCCTGGCAATACTCAGGGTTGTGTGTGGTACTCAGAATAAAACCCCTACATGCAAAGCATGTGTCTTAACATTCTCTCTCTGACCCTAGGAGAAGGTCTTTTACCTCAAAATCTCAACAGACTCTAGAGTTGTGTGCTCTAGACGGGCCCTTGACCTATGGTGGAGTTGGGGCTTAGAGGATGACCATGTCCAGGGTGGCTGGCAGGATACTCACCTCACTGTGCTCTGAACCTAGGGGAGCCTCAAGGCAATGCTCTGGCTCTTTCTCACACTCTCACACTCATTCTGGGGTGCAGATCAGCAGGGATTACGCTATAAGAATCAGTACGGGGGTTCCTCGGACACGTGGCTAAAGTCACCAGTCAGCAACCACCATCAGTCACTTCCTGAGTGCAGACATGCAAACTAGTCACCCTTCAGAAACAGGGATGGTGTGTGTGGGGGGGACCCAAAGAAAAAGGGGAGGCTGAACAGACATAGGCCGCTTCCTAAGTCACAGGAGAATGTCACTTCTCGGGACTGGACAGTCCTAGGGGAGGGACAAATCGAGGAACCGGCACAAAATGAGTCATTGCTTACAAGTGAGATGAGACATGGGTGGGGGGTGAGCAGGGGAATGACAGTCCTGGTCATTTGCTTTGCTTTGTGTGTGGCTTTGCTTTGTGTGTGGGGGGGTATGGTCTGGGGCCACACCAGGAGTGCTTGGGGCTCACTCCTAGTACTGTGCCCAGGGAACCTGCCTGATGGCCTCAGGGACCTCGTGTGGGGCTGGACATGAAACCCAGGGCAGGAGTGCGGGAGGCACCTCCTTGAAGTCTGGTCCTATCTCTCCGGCCCCTGCGTCTGATGATTTTCAAGAAGACCTCTGAGTAGAGTTGCGGGCCTGGAGGAAAGAGCACTGGCGTGTGTTGGACAAGTCCCCGAGCCCCAATCTCCTTATTTCTGTAATGGGGTCATAATATTTAATTTGTTTGGAGGAGTAGGGATAATGAACTTCAAATCGGCCCCTGTGGGTGCACCATAAATTGTACGTCTTATCATTAACTTCTGGCAGAGGGCTCCAGTTCCTGCCAGCCGCGTCCTTAGGATGGATTATTGGCAGGGATGGGGCTGAGATGCCGGCCCAAGCTCCCCGCTCCCAGCTTGTCACCCTCCTAAGGGCAGCCCTTTGCATAAGCATGGACCACCTGCGCAGAAATTGCTTTGACCCACCATTTGTGGTTCGAAGAAGACCCCATAGTTTCCAGGTGCAGCTTTTGGGATTTGTTCTGTGGTTTGGCTCTCTGGAAACTGGCGGCCCAGGAAGAGCTGGGGCAAACAAGGCTCAGGAACAATCCAGAATCAGACAGACTAGGAGGCGAGGAGCATGCACGCATGCATCACTGGGGAAAGGGGGGAGCGTGGTGCTTACCATACGCTACAAACAGGACACACTACCCCTGGCGTGTTCCTGCTCGGGGACTCTGCTCTAAGGTGCACGGAGCGGTGGGTCTGGCCAGCTGCCAGGGACTAGGCTGTGGCAGGTCAGCCTTTCCCCTTTCCGGGTCAGAGGCCATGGTTCCCCAGCACCTGGAGATCCACCTTCAGAGCATGCACACACACCCCACCAATGTTCTGGAAAGCCTGACCGTATCTGTAGTTGTTCTCCCTCCAAGTCCCTCCATCCTTTCCTTGCCTGGTGCCCCTCAATATTCCCCTTTCCTGGGACCTGCACGAAAAAAATACAAACACCTAATGGGAGAGAAAAGGTCTCAGGAGGGGGCTTCCACCAGTCCACTCACTCACGCACTCTCCCTTTTCTATTGGATTTGGGCACTGGTAGTGCCGACTTTGGGGCCCCTGGGTGCTGTGGGCTGCTCAATCCCCTGTTCAAACTCTTGGATCTGCCCCAAGTTCCCCCTCCCCTCTCTGCTCCTTCCCTACCTTCCCTTTTCTTCCTGGTTGACTCTAAGACATTTTGCTCAGATGCCACCTCCTCCAAGGAGCACTCCCTAACTGCATTTCCTCTGGGCTCCAGTGCTTTCTATCAGGGCTGACTGGGCCCAAATTCAGGCTCTGTGCATTACAGACCTTTATATAAGTCATAGGCATCCGTTTGCTTCCGGTGCTCAACTACTCAGGCACACAGGGGATCAGGACACTGCTCCACCAGGCATCTGAAACAGGGCCTGGGGGTGCAGAGCCCAGAAATGCCACACTCACATCAGGGAAGCAGTTAGCACAAGTCTACTGAGGCCCAGACTCCCTGGAGACAGCAGGCTGGGAGCCGTCCCCAATGCCACCACTCCCGCTGACTTCCTCTCAACTTGATTTGGCATGGTCCAAACTTTTGTTTTGTTTTGTTTTGTTTTTTGTTTTTTTTGGTCACACCCAGCAAAGCACAGCAGGCCTCCTGGCTCTGCATTCAGGAATTACTCCTGGCAGTACTCGGGGGACCATATGGGATGCTGGGGATTGAACTTGGATCGGCCACGTGCAAGGCAAATGCCCTCCCCACTGTACTATAGCTCCAGCCCCCGGGTCCAAACTTTTTATTCAAAACTGGTTTGGGGAGTTTGCTTGGGAGACAGTCCCAGCAGTGCTCAGGTGCTGTTCCTGGTTCTGGGATCAAAGGTCACCCTTGGTGATGTTTGGGGGGAGGGGCATATTTGGTGACTGGATCAAAGCAGGTGGGCTGCATGCAAGGCGACCACCTTACCTGCTGGACTACCTCTCGAGCCCTCAAACAGGATTTGAACGCGTGTTACTTCGGTGTCAGTAGGACACATGGCAGAGCAAGCCGCCTCCCATGCAGGTCAATGAGCAGAGGCTGCTGTCCTGTGTCCTGTCACGGTCACCTCTGCCCCCTTGGCAGCACCTTTGCTGGGGCCCCATTTCTATGTGAATTGATGGGCCACACCCCCATTTCCCAGGTGCCCTGGCTCTGGGCTCTCTGATGGGGCGTGGGGCAGCCCCTTCCTTACCTTGATTCCCTGGCCCAGGCTCTCCAGAGAGTTAATGTCCAGCCCTTCCTTGCAGGCCTGCAGGCAGGAGATCACCTTCTGGCTGTCCATCTTCCCTGGGCGGATGGTGAGGCTGGCCAGGCTGCCGTGGAAGAACTGTGCGAACCTCGGCTTGGCCACTTCCCCCCCTGAAGATAGAGATGCCCAGTTAGTTGTCCACCAGGAAGCGGGCTGGAAAACCACTTCAGGGCACCATTTGTTGGCTAGAGAGCCCCGGACCTGGTGACTGTCCCCTGACCCGGAGCTCTCAATGCTGGGCGGGCACAGTGGCCAGGATCTCCCAGACTGCCACATGCCACCAACATCTTGGTCCCCTGAGCTGCACCTGCCTTGTACAGCTGGGACATCTGAACAGGTAGAGCTTGATTGATTCAAGCCCCCTAGTGCCAGGTGGAAACCCAGGCCTGAAGGCTGGAGCTGTCACTCTCGGGAGCATCCAGAAGGTTCTCTCTTTCCTGCCTGGCTTCCCCATCTCCCTTAAAGTTGCAGGGCCAACAGCAACAAGGGACATTTACCAGGTGTGAATTGTATGAGCTGAAGGTGTGAAGTTCTCAGCAGGCATATTTTATTGAATCTTTATCAAACTTGGAGTGTGAGTGATAAAAAAAACCCTCACTCTTTTACAGTGACAAATGAACAAGCTCAAGTTTCAAGAAGAGACCCAAGGTCACAGTGAAAGGGAGTGATGGAGTGTACCCCTAGAGCTAGAAAGATCCAGAGGGTCACTGTGGTAGTTGCGATGGGTGCCAATTGGGGGACACTTCCTAGTTGTTTAAATTTTGATTTCTGGAGATGAGATGTGCTGAGTATTTGTTAGTTTTTTTTTCCTGGAAAAGGGGCTGTGAGTTGTGTCTTGGGGCTCCTTCACCCCTAGAGTATCAGCCCACCTGGCTGGGGCGGGCACCCTAAAGGGTGATATCTGGTATGCTTATCGCCTGAACAAAGAGGGGTGCCACCCTGTCTGACATCTAGCCCCCCTCCACTGCTCACTCGGCTGCTTCATCCTTAACATGGCAAACTGCGTGCCGTTCTTGGCGATGAAGATGTTTTTCTGGAGCTGTCTTTTCTCTTGATAGGCGATGCCCTATATTCTGGACTCAAGAATGCCAGGCCCGTGGTGCCTTCCTCATTAATGACACAGCTCCAGGAAACCAACTCAATTAGCATGTTGCAATGGGAGGCCGCAGCCTCGCGTCTGAAATACAGTGGCGCTAGGGGTGCTATGAGTCGGGAATCTTGGAGATAATGGATACATGAAAAAATATCTTTCTGTGTCACATCTCGGGTGTCTGCCTACACCACATGGCTCCTCTCTTCACAGTGAGACACAAACATGCTCATGCATTATTTTAAGAAGGCACATAACCTGCTTTCTCACACAAAGAACTTGCTCTAAATGTTTGCGAACATGGTCTCCAGTTCCCGAGGCTAGATCGGCACGCATTTTTTAAAGTATATTTTAAAAGATTTGTCTGCCCAGCCTTCTGTGCGAGTCTGTTCACTATCAGATGTGGGCCGTGCTTTCCAGGAGCTCATACTTGGAGAATAAAGTATAGAAACGGGGAAAGGAAAATAAAGTATGATTAAACTGCCACATCTGAGGTAGTCAAAGGCGGCAAATGCTCTTCTCCCAACACATGACAGCGAGAATGTCTCCGACAGGCCGGGGTGAGGGGCAGGCGTCCTGCTCCCCTGGGTGAGTCCTTCTAACTCTGTGGCTCTTTCCACAGGCCATTCCACCAAATCCCTAGCAGGTGGGTCTGCTGATTAGCAATCGCTATTTAGCCTCTATTCCTCCTTCATTTCCTCCTGGTATTCTTTCTGTTCACATCCGGCTCTGGCTGTGCTGTGAGTCACAGGAGGGGTGTGTGGAGAGATGAGCTCGAAGGGACATCGGCAAGCGCCACCCTTCCCCCGCCCAGTTCTGCTTCTTAATCCTCAGGAGTGTAGGAAAGACCTGGGTACAGATCAGCTTAGGGGGCAAAACGGAGGAAGACAACCTGTGTTCCACAGACCAGGGAATGATGCCCTAGACTGGTGTATATATGCATGTATTTGTGTATATGTGTGTATGCATGAACGTGTGTGTATATGTGTACATGTGTGTGTGGGGGGGGTGGCGGTGATGAGGAGTGGCTGAGCTCTAGAAAAAGGAGATTGGGGCACCTGGCATCTGTTTTCCGAGCTAATCCCCAGCAGGGGATGCGGTTATAAGGGGCTGCTGACCTTGCAACTCTGGTCACCAGGGCAGATGGAAGGTCCGTGGAGAAGTTCTCCATATGCGGTGCCTTTGCTTAACTCAGGCAAGGAAACATGAGAGTTCAGGTTGCAGAGAGCATCAGTGACTGAAGCATGAAAGGGCTGAACCCATTCCCCGGTTCACCCCAACACCTAACAGCACCTCGATACCCTCCCTGGGATTGGCTGGCACCCTAAGGACAGGAAATTATTTCCAACTCACAGAAGCAGATTCAGGGAGATGGGGCTGGAGTGGATGCCGGGAAAGTGATTCTTTGTGACTATCCATTCTTCACCAGCTTCTATTGAACAGTGGCCATTTGTTTTCAAAGGGGGCAGCTTGCTTGGCCACTGGCTGGAAAGGAGGGACGCTTCCTTTCAAACTCAGGCTACTCCCAGCCCCTGGCCCACAGTGGAATGCAAAGGAGGCACAGTGGGTTTTGAGGAAATTCCCTAGGGAGGTAATAATTGGGCTGTTCCCTACAGACGGGGCAGGTTGTGGTGGATATCGTGCTGGGGGAGAGTGTCCAGGAATACTGAAGTTCTGAGGATACTGGAAGGCTTTAGCTGCAACTCCTCTTCCAAGTGTGCCAAAAACATGGGTGCCCTTGAGCACTGGGGTACTGGACAAGCACGGTGCAGTGGAGCCTGTGGTGCTCTAAGCCAGAGTTTGCATTGGGAATTAAGTCGCCCTCACTTTCCTTTCCACCAAGGGGGTGGGTGGTTTGGGGCTCCCTCCCTCTAAACATGGCTTTTTTCTTGGGGAGTGTCACAACTGCTGTGCTCAGGGATTAAGCCCAGCTCTGTGCTCAGGAATCACTTCTAGCAGGACCTGGGGGGGGCCCATATAGGGTGCTGAAGATTGAACCTGGGTCAGGTGCATGAAATACAAGTGCCCTGCCCGCTGGACTCTCTCTCCAGCCCTACACCCATGTGCCTCTGAGTCCAAGCTCAGAGCTGGGCTCATTAGCCCAGTGTGTGGGGCTGCCCTGGGCTTCTTTCCCCGCTGCCTCTCCCACAGTGATTCACTGTGAGCACTACCCTGGGAGGGAGCGGGGGAGCCTCATTCCCTCTCGCCAGAGTCTGCTACTGTTCTGTGCGTGGTGTTGATGGGGACGCCCCTCAATGAACACAATTTCATGGCTGGTTGGGTCTCAATTTTGAGCCATGCAAATGGAAGGACCATCTGAAATCTGGCTTTCTCTTGCTTCCTCATTTCGGCGATGGAGATAGCCAACAATCGTGAAGACTAAGTGAAGTGTGTAATGAAGCCCCCATGCTGCGGTTATCAAACTTGTCTCCACACAGTGCCCCCCCAACACCACCCCTCTTTTCCCCGCCAGGGGGGCTCAGCTGCAGGCTGGAGGGACAATCTGCCAGCAGGACAGCTCAGGACACAGAACTGGCTGGTTTCCTTAAGAAAATCTTTTGGATTTCTCATACCTACTCCTCCAACCTTTCCCCAAAACATTTATATAGCATGTTCTAAGTGGGCAAAACATATGAATTGCAGGTGGCTGGAAGTTCATGGATTTTGGAGATCCTCAAAGATCATCCAGGACACCCCTTTTGTTCTCCGAAGATGTGAGGAGCACGGAGGTAAGAGACTGTATTTATTTATTTTTATTTTATTTTATATATATTTTTGCTTTTTGGATCACACCCAGAAATGCCCAGGGGTTACTCCTGGCTTTGCACTCAGGAATTATCCCTGATGGTGCTTGAGGGACCATATGAATACTGAGGATCGAACCCGGGTTGACCACGTACAATGCAAACACCCTACCTGCTGTACTATAGCTCCAGCCCCAAAATACTGTATTTAAAGACTGGCTCTAACCCAGGAGTCCACAAGCTGGACAGATCTCTGAGACTTGGTCCTGTCTTTGGGGAAAAATGCCAAAGGAGTGGAGCCAATAATTCAACCCCAGATTCCAGAATCTTCTTGGTCTTCCATATCCCCAGAAGCCGAGGTGATATGATTAAAAGATGAAAGCAGCATTATAGCACAGCGGTAGGGCATTTGCCTTGTACGCAGCCAGCCCTGCCGAGCCTGGTTCAATTCCTCCGCCCCTCTCGGAGAGCCCAGCAAGGTACCGAGAGTATCTCGCCCGCACAGCAAAGCCTGGCAAGCTACCCATGATGTATTCTATATGCCAAACATAGTAACAACAAGTCTCAGAATGGAGACATTACTGGGCCCGCTTGAGCAAATCACTGAACAACGGGAGGGCAGTGACACTGACAGTGATTAAAAGTAGGACATCTAGGTGCCAAGTCAGCACTCTTGGGAATCAGGGTTAGTTTCTGAATCTGCAAAATGGGATCATTGCCTTGGCCTCCCCCACAGCATCGCTAACTGAGAAGGCAGATATGCACGGCCCAGCACAGGCCTGCCAACTCCGCAGCCTGTTCTGGAGGAAGCAAGAGCCAGAATGAATGCTTAGTTACCATGTGAGTTCTCTGCCTCCAAGCAGCCTCTTTCTCTCCTCTACTCTAACCAGAAATGTTAGAGGGATGCTTTTGTTTTTGTTTCAAGCCTTATAAAATATCCTGATTAATCTAACATTTAGACTAATGTTTAGAACAAGGTGCAGAGTTGAGCTCCACTCACACCTACTCTTTATTTCCAGGCAGGAAATGGCTGCTGTTGAAGCTGATGTTCTCTGTGTCCTCCTTAAACCAACATGCCCTGGCAATCCAGGGAGTAGTCTGACCTTGATATTTTAACAGGGGTCATCTGAAGGACACCCTTGAGTTATCATGTGTCTGCACACGAGGTGTAAATCATCTTCAAAACGGCCTAGGAAATGGGATGAAATTAAATCAACAGGATTACTGGCCTCCTGGAGCTTTGGGGTTAGGGAGGAATGAGGACCCACGTGAGCAC